TGCGCCTTCCCTTCCATCCTCTAATTGACAAGGTTATGAACCACTTCGGTGTCACTATAGATTATCTTCACCCGAACTCTATCCGCAACCTTGCCGGGACCATCTCCCTTTGCTGTGAGCACTGCCTTCCTTTGGACTTAAAAATTTTTTCCGCTATTCTCATGCTTAAGAAACAAGCGGGTCCCCTGCCCAGGCGTAGGAGGTTATACTACTTGTCACCTCGCCCGAGCTTCAAGCTCTAACACGATCTCCCAAACAACGTCCCAGCGTGGAAGCGGGACTACTTCGTGGTTCAAAGTGCTACAGGGTGGCCGTTTCCTACTGAGTGGGGTTTGGCCGCTCCTGACCCCGGTGTTGTTTTAGATGAAGATACAGTGAAGGGCCTCCGGGACTGGGCCCGACAAGAGCTAAAATGCGAAGCCTATCTGACGGAGGATAAACTCATTTAGGCCGGTCTGAGTTCGGGTAGGTTTCTTGCTCAGATAAAGATACTTTTGTTTCTGCTTTTATTCCCGTCTTCTAACGCCGAGCTCCTTTTTGCAGGTGTTATGGAGGCAGACAAGACTCGAGGTGCGAACTTGTTTGCTGGCATGAAGCGGAAGAAGCGAGCTGTTAAGCGAGTTCGCGCCGATCCTTCCCGGGTGGCGGAGCCCGAGGTACCGAGGACGGAGCCTCCTGGGGAGCCCGAGGTGCCCCCTTCAGTTCCGGAGGCGGCAGGGGCTCCTTATGCCCGGGCTGCGCCTTCGGGCTCGGGGAGCCATGGTGGGATTGGGAGTGTGCTGATGTCGAGCTACACTCTCCGAAAAGGCAAGGCCGCCACTTGTCCTGAGGAGGTCGTGCAGTGGGCCGATCTCCCTACCAATCTCATAGGTGCTCGGGCTGCAACTCACGCCATGGTGGCAAGTCGGAGTGGTTTTTTTTTTTTTGTCGAGCTTATTTGTCCTCATTCTGGCAGGTGAACTCCTCTATCCATGCCTTGGCAATTTAGGTGGAGAGACGCTTGAGACGGGCAGAAGTGCCGAGGCTGGGCTATCGAGGTCTTAGAGAGACAAAGAGGCCTTAGGTATGGTGGTGAGGCATATGGTCGATCTGAAGTTGGACCTGGAGCACCAGGTCGAGTACCTTCAGGAAGACATTAGGGAGAAGACGCAGATCTTTTCTCAGGCTATTGACAAGGCGAAGGCAAAAGCCGTTGAGGATTATATTGCCTCGCCACGCTTTGACGACATGATGGTGGGCTCGTACAAACGGGGTTTCAAGTTGAGCCGATGGATGATAAGGAACATGTACCCCGACCTCGATATCAGCGCCATAACCACCTCGCGCATCATTGAGGAGATGGCTACCGCAGTTGATGTCGATGCGGATTCCGAAGACGAAGTGGGTCCTTCGGGTGTTGTCAAAGTCCCTTCTGAAGGCGAGGAAGATTGACCTCTGGGCATGTGAGCTCGTTTGTGTCTCCTTTTTTTTTTAAACACTGTAAAGCAAACATTTAGCAATGAAGTATTTTTTCTGTTCAAATATGTTGTGCAAATTTTCTCCATTTGTCGAAGTGACTATACCCGAGCTGCTAGACTTGTGCTCCGAGGCGAGTTAACATAGTAAGGCTATGTGCCCGAATTGTTCTCTGCCCCAGATTGCTTTCGTCGATAATGTGCCGAGGTCATCTTTAGCTCGGTATTCTGCCCCTTTTGGTGTCGAGGTCCTTGTTAGCTCGGCATTCTGGGCCTTAGGGTGCCAAGGTTTTTGCTAGCTCGGCAGTGGCTCATGGCCTGCTTAGTTTGTTAACTTATAAGTAAAATCGTCTTAAGTTGACGATGTTCCATGCCCAGGGTATCTATTTACCCTCCAGGGTCTCGAGCTCGTATGCTCCCCCGAGTACTCTCTTTACTCGGTAGGGTCCTTCCCAATTCGGCCCGAGTTTGCCAACGCCAGGCTCAGGTACCATGACCTTGTGGAGAACCAGGTCGCCGACGCGGAAGTTTCGTTTCTTAACTCTGGCGTTGTAGTATCGAGCTACCCTTTGCTGGTACGCCGCGGTTCTGATGTACGCGAGGTCCCTCACCTCGTCAAGTAGGTCGAGGTTGGTACGTAGCTCGTCGTTATTAGTATTGTCATTTTATGCTTCCAATCGAAGTGAAAGGATTTCGATTTCAGTTGGGATGACTGCCTCCGTGCCATAGGTGAGGTTGAAGGGAGTTTCTCCGATGGCGGTCTTTTCTGCAGTTCGGTATGCCCATAGGACGCTGGGCAGTTCATCTGCCCATAACCCCTTAGCTCAGTCTAGCCTGGCTTTCAGTCCGCGGAGGATAGCTTCGTTCGTGACTTCTACCTGACCGTTTGCTTGTGGGTGCGTAACCGACGTGAAGTTTTGCCGAATCCTCATGCCTTGGCACCACTCTTGGAATTTGATGTCTTCGAACTGCTTTCCGTTATCGGAGATCAGCACCCGAGGTAGCCCGAAGCGGCACACTATGTTCTTCCAGAAGAAGTTCTGGACGTTTCGAGCTATGATGGTTACGAGAGTCTCAACTTCAACCCACTTGGTGAAGTAGTCTACTGCCACTAGTAGGAACTTCCTTCCTCCTGTTGCTGGCGGGAATGGTCCGAGTAGGTCGATACCCCATTGTGTGAAGGGCCATGGGCTGGTGAGGTACTTGAGGTCGGCGGCGGGCTGATGGTGAATATTGGCGTGCTTCTAGCACTTCTCGCACTTCCTGATTAGCCTGACGGCGTCTGCTTTCATTATTGGCCAATAGTACCCCTGTCGTAGTGCCTTCTGAGCGACGGCCTTGTCCCCTAAGTGTCCACCACATAGGCCTTCATGAATGTCGCGGAGTACGAGCTCGGCTTCGAGAGGTCACAAGCAGCGCAGGTAGAGGAGCATGTAGGATTTTCGGTACAACCGTCCGTCTATCATGACGTACTTGGCTGCCTGACGCTCTACCCTCTTGGCAGCGTTGCGTTCCGCAGGGAGGGTTCCATGTAGCAGGAAGCTCGCGAGTGGATCAATCCAGCTCGGTTCTGCTTGGGCGACCTCCTCTGCCCCCCGGAGAATGCTAGGCCGAGGTAACTCCTCTATGTACACAGTTCTCATGGTATTGTCACTGGTGTTGGCTAGCCAGGACAGAGCGTCGGCCTCAGTGTTCTCTGACCCCAGGATTTGCTTGATGAAATGTGAATGGAAGCTAAGCATTGCCTCTCTTACCTTTGCCAAGTAGGCGATCATAGCCGGCTCGCGGGCTTCGTATTCCCCTGTAACTTGGTTGACCACGAGCTGGGAATCGTTGCAGATAACTATGTGTTTTGCCTTCACCTCTTGCGCCAGAGCTAGCCTTGCTATCAACGCCTTGTATTTCGCCTCATTGTTGGATGCCGCGAACTCAAAGCATAGTGCGTACTCCAATTTCGTGCCACTCGGCTCTCTTTAGTTCGGAGCTTGGGTTGTGGGCCTGCTGTCGTGCCGAGCTGGCGTTTCTGCCAGGTCACTCTCGGTTGCTTCCACGTGTCGCATGGCCGAGGGGTCGGGTCAAATCTTCCTCCATCAGCAATATTTTTGTCAAAGTTCAAAATATCGATACGCCCGATACACCGATATGGGCATATCAAGCAAATCGATACTATTTCTTTTAGTATTTTTTTTCCTGATACTAGTTTAGGAGGCCGGTTTAGGTCTCCTCCATCCCCTGAACCGGTTAGACCCCCAATACACCCACTATAGGGGCGTATTGGTGGAGTCCCGGAACGATACATATCGGCCAATAAGTGGCGACCGATACATGTCGATACTTTGGACCTTGATTTTTGTAACCAAACATTCTAATGTTATACATTCTTGCTCATTCTTATCCATAATGAACAAGAATTAAAAGAATGAAACCCATAGCAATAAACCAAACATGGCCTTAGTTGCTTGAAACTTCAGTTATAAATATTAGGTGAAAAATAAGTGCTTAAAAACAATTCTAATAAGCACTTATAAATATTTGGTGAAAAAGCACTTAGCATGGGTATTTTTAAAATGACATGAGAGGCCAAGATAGGCCAAAAATGAAATAATCACTTATTGAATAGCACTTAAATAAGTGTTTATTTAATTGCTTATTGGTGTGGCCCAGCTAAAATTTACTTATTCAAATAAACAGTTAATTGAACAATAGAAACAGTAGCTGATGGGTCAACATGAATACGATTACAACTGGTCATGATCATAAATTCATAATGTTCCAACTCTTGACCTCTAACAAGATTGGTGAAGAGGAAAACTCATTAACGTCCGATGGGTCAACATACTGTATATCAAGTGGGTAGGGCATTCTGGAGTCCAAGCGAGGTTAAACGGCTTTTAGCATCTAGGAATTGCAACTTGAAACCATTACTTTTTCTTCTTAAGGCTTACAAATACAAATATCTACAACAAAGTTCAAAGTATCGATCGTATCAGCTATGTATCATTTTGGGACCCCTCCGAAACCGGTTGCAAAAGAAAATAAAAAATAAGACCTAAAATACTGTATCAATTCGCCCAATACTCCCATACCAACGTATTGAGCATATCGATATTTCGATATTTTAAACCTTAATCTACAGTAAATCTATACAAACCAATACAAGATATAAGATTTTGCTCTTTACATATTTGTATTTGTACTCCTTCCAAATGGAGCCTAAACAACTTAATTTGACTGTCCTAATTGTGCAAGCCCGCTAAAAAACTCAGTTTGGAAGGATTACAGTGCAAAACCTGATACTTTTAAGCTCAATTTAAAAAGAGTATAATTGTATTTTGCATTATTTCGTATGTCTTTACACTCTATATTTTTGTATATATACATTTTTACATAGATAATCAATTAAGCAAATAGGTTGCAAAATATAGACACGTGCAAATATAAGGGGCTTTTAATAAATGACCCTTTTTTACGGTTATGATAGTAAGTACCAAATTTACAAATTATCCGATTGAACCATTTTTCATGGTCTACTTGAATACATTGAAATGTTAAATAGAGTTTATTAGTTAGTTTATCACCAAATACCTACCACTGACATGAGACATCTGGGGCCTTGAAAGTCTAAATCGGATCGAACACCTATCAAAGTAACCACTTCAACAGAATTCCCCACCTAGGGCTGGCAAACGGTATATGGTGGCATACGGCATACCGAAGTCCAAACCGAAAATCGTAGTAAGAGTGTCCGGCTTGCTCAAGTCTTACTAAGATCATAAAAATTGTGTGACACAAAGTAATAACATAAAGAAATAAACCTAAGAGAGATTACCAAAAAAACCTAAGAGGTGTAGAATAGAAATGTAATTCCATCTGTATACTAGGCGGTTCCAACAAAACTGCTCTCAAATGGCTAGGATTTCATGAATCACAACAAATAGGCAAGGAAAGATGGACATAGTTAGATTATGCCGATCTTGTTTGCCACATCCAGTGCATCATAATCTGGTGTCAACCTCACGTATGCCTTCTTAGTCCCATCAGGCCTGAAACCACAAGAATAATAGATCTCATTCAGAATATACATCCACCAATTTGCCGGGGAAAAGAAATACCACATATCACAACTGCACTAAGAAATATTTGCACATACTTGGATGAACGTGCCCGGTAAAAATCATATCATAACAAAATGAATAAAACAAACATTAGGTTGGAAGAATTTGGTCGTAAGTAAATTGATCATGTATAAAATTGTAAATGTCAAATATCAGCAAAGCCAACATAAGGCTCAAGTTTGGAAGGAACCTTGGAAGGAGTACAAATACAAATCTGTATTGTACACATTTGTATTTGTACTCTTTCAAACTGAACCTTGGAAGGAGTACAAATACAAATTTGTAGAGTACAAAACCTTGTATTTTGTATTATTTTATATGTATTTGCACTGTACATATTTGCATTTGTGCTCTTTCCAAACTAGGCCTTAAAGTTTATGCACATATTCATCAATACAAAAATTACAAGTGAGGGGGCAGAAAAACAGAGTACATTGTAAAAATGAAGGCTCACCTGATCAAGGTATTAACTTTCTTTGTCTGAATGTCATACATTTTCTTCACTGCAGCCTTTATCTTCTTCTTATCTGCACGGATATCAACAATGAAAACCAGTGTGTTGTTGTCTTCAATTTTCTTCATTGCAGACTCTGTCGTGAGGGGATATTTGAGTATCTGATAATGGTCAAGCTTGTTCCTTGGTGGTGCACTAATGCGAGGGTACTTAGGGCTCCTATCCTTCTTCAATGTCTTCGGCCGATGAAATGTAACTGATGTTCGGATCTTCTTTGTTTTCTTTTTTATGGATGAAGCACCCGATTTCACAGCCTTGGCAGCCTTCAAGGCCTGTGCCTTGGGATCAGTCTTCTTGGCAGTGGCAGCTGTATAAGATGCAAAGTCTTAACTCTAGGTTGCAAAAAAGAGAAAAAATACATAGCTAGCGCTGACTTGGTATGATTAAATAAAAAGGATATCAGAAGATGAATAATTTCTATATCAGAAGATGAATAATTGCTGATTGCCAAGTCCTTCCCCAAGGATTTAATTTGACTAAGGCCATACTTCAAACCTGTCGGCCTAAAAGTAGAAGGAAAAAACAGTTGGTACTTTGGTCTTTGGGGGATTGAGCCTCCAGACTACCCCATAAGAGAAATCTTAGAATCCTCAATCCCCTCTGCACA